CGTAATCTAGTACCAACTAAGAAGGCTGCCAAAACACATCACGAGATGTAGACATGGAAGGTTCCTTCGTTGTCACATATCAAGGTTTGGGGTTGTGAAGCTTTTGTCAGACAAGAGACTCGCAACAAGCTTGAACCTCATAGTGAGCGCTGTATTATCATTGGCTACCCACAAAAATCATTTGGATATCTTTTGTACAGACCTAGTGATAACGTGGTCTTTGTAACGACGAGAGGAGTTTTCCGCGAGAGGGAACTTATCTGCTAAGAGGACAGTGGGAATACAATTGATCTTGAAGAGATTCGGGAATCAATCGGTGAAGGAACCTCAAACACAATCACTCAACATGAGGAAGAGATTCCTGTTGAACTGATTGACAAGTCATTACCTCTTAGGGATTCCACTCGATCTAGAAAGGAACCGAAGTTTTATGGTTTTCATATTACTACGAATGGTGATACATTTATCAGTGATAATACACTAGTAAATTTGGATGAGCCTTTTAGCTACAAGGGAGCCATGGCGGGCCTTGAGTCTGCCAAATGGAAAGAGCCAATGGACAGCAAGATTGAGTCCATGTATGACAACCATGTTTGAAACTTGGTCGATAATGTACCAGGTCGTAAGACAGTTGGGTGAAAATGGATCTTCAAGAAGAAGACCGACCTGGATGGAAAGGTGAACACGTTCAAGGCACGACTGGTTACAAAGGGCTTTACTCAAATTCCGAGGGTTAACTATGATGAGACCTTCTCATCAGTGGCCAAGATCAAGTCTATTAGGGTTATGTTAGCCATTTCTGCATTTCATGATTATGAAATTTGGAAGATGGATGTCAAAACCGCTTTCCTTAATGGGAAGCTGGCTGAAGATGTTGACATGTGTCATCCAGAGGGTTTTTTGGATGCTAAATACCCCAATACAGTGTGCAATCTTGAGAAATCCATTTATGGATTAAAGCAAGTGTCTCGCAGATGGAATCTTTTCTTCGATGAAAAAGTTAACGAATTTGGTTTCTTTGGAAGTGAGGATGAGTCTTGCATATATGTCAAAGGGAACTCGCGTACATGTCAAAGGGAACCCGGGTAAAGCTTACTAGATAGCAGTTAAGAAGATTTTTAAGTACCTACGAAGAACTAAGGATTGGGTCCTTATACTTGGTGGGGGTGATGACTTAAGAGTGATAGGGTACAGTAACGCCAGTTTTCAGACCGATAGAGATAACTTCCACTCTCAATCTGGTTGGGTGTTTACCCTACATGGAGGAGCAGTAACTTGGAAAAGTTCCAAGCAAGAGACTGTGGCTGTTTCAACATGGAAATCAGAGTACATAGCTGCGAGCAAAGCATCGAAGGAGGATATATGCTTGAAAAACTTCATTGGAGACCTTGGAGTTGTACCAGCCATAAAGGAGCCCATGGAGATTTTCTGTGATAATGACGGAGCTATTGCCTTAACCACGAAACCAAAGGATCATGGCAGATCCTAACATATCAAAATAAAATACCGTTTCATCAAACATCGGGTAGAAGGAGTCCTCGTGGTCAAGAGGGTATCGTCAGAAGAGAATCTTGTAGATCCCCTCACCAAGGGTCTAAGTAGGATCAAGCACGTTCAACATGCGAGGATCATTGGTATGAAGGACGATATTAGTTTTAGTGATTAGATAAATGTTTAGAAACATGTAACAAATAAATATAATTGACATGTGATGATTAATTAATGGAGAATTATTTATAAGTAATTGTTTACCATCTTTTGTCAATTGTTTATTTCGTGTTTCACTTTTGCATGTTTTACTACCTGAATAATTGGATTATTCGAATTATCGACAGTCGATCATACTTTGGAAGTAAGTAATGAGGCAAGACTGTCATGAATTGGTTTGTAGATTATCTAAGTGCTTGGACATCACAAATGTTTGCTGCAACGTTCATGAGTACTCCTAAAATAGGATTTAAGTATTAGATTAAACCCACGCTCATTTGAATCACTTCATGGAATTCATCACGAGTGATTGTGAGATGATAATATCGTATAATCTTTAAACCGAGATATATGAGTTGTTGTTTACAAGTTGGTTGTGCATTGATAATGCGTAAATGCATCAGTAACTTGATGTTTTAAAACGTGTTGTTGTGTACGATTTGATGATTAAATAGTAGAAGCATATAAGTTAAAGTTTATCTGTTCCTTTTATCCCAAGGGGTAAAATTGATCTCTTGGGCCCATCGATGATTTTGTGTTGACTTATGTGTCAGGCCCGGTCAGGACTGAATTGATGTGTTTAATTAAGTTCGTTATCAAACAAATCAAAAACCGGGAAACAAACTGTTGGACATTTAGAATAATTATGTTACACGTCTTTGTCCACATGATATCTTGTATAATGGAGGACTATATGATCCCCTATCTTAAGGACACAGAACTGACTTGGTCAGACTTCGACAATGGCTTTTGAGAGCTATAATTGCTAATAAGATTTTGAAGTCATACTTGCAATTATAGTTATTAGACTTATTGAAGTGGGAGACTGTTGGATTAGGTGTCTAAGCCCATAACAGTAATTGCTATGTACTTGATTTGATGGTTGCATGGTCCTTTTAGGTTGCCTTCATACTGGCAACGAGACAAGATGACTATTGGAAAGAGAAGTTGAATTTATTATTTAGAATAATAAATTAGGGCATAAATATGATTTATTAATATATTATAAGAATAATATATTAATTATAATGTATAGTGTTAATAAGTATTTAATCATAAATTAATTTGGAATTAATTTGAGGATTAAAGGAATGGAGTAAAAGTGCAGGGGCTGTTTTGTAAATTTGATAGTTGAGGCTTTGGGCCATTGGATCACCCATATTAGGGAGGGTTGGAAATTCCTAGAAGTTTCTAGGTATTTTCGTCCAAGCCCTAAGGGAAAGGAATCAATGGACTTGCTTAGGCCCTAAGCTAAGGAATTAGGGTTTCCGCCTTAAACCCCTAGCTAGCCTTAAGTATGAATAGAGCCCTTAGCTCTTGAATTCGGCCACACTTTGTGAAACACTAGAAGGATCTGTTTTTTAGACTAAGTCACTCCCTTTCCTCTCTCTCGTATTCTCCCTCTTGCCCAAGTGTGCTCGTGAGCCATTATAGGTACCACAATTGTGGTACTTGTTCTCAAAAGCAAGGATCTCTTAGTTTGAGTTGTTATTCTATATTGCAACAATGGTATGTGATCTAATCTTTCATATGTGATTTTCGAAAATATTAGATGCATATTAGGGTTTCCTATTTTTGTTCATTTGTTGTATGTCTAATAGAGAAACATAGATCCAAACTAGGGTTGTATACACACACATAGGATTGTTTGTATAAAACTCATCACATGACTCATAGATAAGGTTGGAGGGTCGAAGCACTAACATGTCCCCTAACTACCTCTGCTACTGTGTAGGACACTAGGTTTTGATTTATGCTTTCTTGTTTCTTGTATGTTTACATGCTTCGTTATGTTGGACTCGTAGGGTTGGGCATACTCGATTGAAATGTACCCCTAGTGTTGGCCCCATTATTTAGGGTTGGGACGATTATCTAGGGCTACAACTACTAGGTTGGAATATACCCCTAGGACTGGACTCATTGTTTTGTGATGTATGTGATATATTAAGGAACTTATTAAGCTTTGTGTTTACAGTTTTAAGTTTGACTGTTGCAAGTAGTTGTGTTAACAAATAGAAGGGCATGGTGTGATTGCATGATATCCTTGGAAATGCTTTGAGCCCTAATTTTAAATTACTATCTTGTTACTCTGATTTGATTCATGGTCGTTGTTTTGAACAAATGGTTATTCTTCAATCTATGAGAGTAGAATTGGAACAAATGTTTTTGATTTTCAACAAATCCTTGAAATTTTGACATTTCCGTTCCCGTTAGGGGCAATGGGAAAAGTTACATTCTTATGTGTTTATGTGATTGTTTGTCAATAAATGTGTTTAGTTAGCTTTTCGTTTACCCGTTGATATAACATTTTTTAGCAATTTTTAGGTTTTTCAGGGTAAAATTTTTATTTTCTTTATTTTTGGTTCACTATTTAATTCACATAAAAGATGGTTTATACATTTCCACAAAGGACTTCAAGTTGAAATGAACTTTTCCATAAAATATAATTTTATAAAATGTTTTGTTATTTATAAATCTTTTAAATATTTATGTAATTGGTTATCCATAGTTTTATAATATGACATTCTATTTAACTATTCCATAGATATGTTAGGGTACATGTAATATCACCTTAGAAAATTAATTAATATAATGATAGATATGTATGCACTTGTGAGAATTCTTCACTCTCACTCTTGCAATGCTCGTAACCATGTTGATATGCTTTCAAGACAGTTCAAGATACTTAAACAAAATATTCATTAATTAAATAAGAAGGTATTGATTTAGCATAACACAATGAAACCTTTAGTAAAAAAAAACTCAGGTCTTTCGATTATTCGTTTGGTCATCATTCGTATGCTGCTCATCAAAACAAACAAAATTCATAATGAAATAAGAAGAAAATATTTTTCGTATAAAACAATGAAACAGCTTGTAAAAAACTCAGTTCTTTCGGCCATTCTTTGTGTAATCATAGTTCTTTCGATCATTCTTTGGTCATCATTCATTTGTTTATCATCAAAACAAATAGAATTCTTAATTAGTAATGCAACTCACATATATTTACAAAACTTCGCATTCAGTCTAAAAAGGAAACACTAGTTGCTTATATATCGCTTTTTTAAATCATGTTTCATTTACCTTAATAAAACTTTATCGAAATAACATTTAATAAAAAAACCAAGCACTTGACATTATAAACTTGTTGATAAACACAATATTGTTTCACTCAAGAAGTCTATTAATACTTCATAATAGAATTATTTATTTCAAATGATGGGAAACGCAAGTTAGCCCGAGGTTTACGCCTAGTAGTAGACCGAATACGTAGTACATATATGTGTTTTAAATCAAGAGAGAGACCATTCTCTCTTAAGCACCAATTTAAGCTCATGAATGTGATTTTGAGGCAACCCTATGCTGATTGTTAACCCATCGGTTTGATCTTTTCGAGTCGGATAAACCAACACAACACCTTCATCTCCAACATTATCAATAGCACAACTTACATAAACCGGTGTATTTCCTCTTATATCCAAATCATAAAGCGGGGTATCCTGTAAATCCACAAAAGTCAAATTTGCTCCATATATCAAAAAGTCCGGGAATCCACCATCAGATTCCATTGCTTCTTCGATATCCCTCCTCTCATCCACACCTTGATTCATAAGGAGCAACCCAAGTTCCATCAAACTGGATTCTTCCACAGAAGCATTTGTTTTTACCACCTTAATTGATTGAGCTTTGTTTGTGATAATCCCTTCGAATGGAATTTTTGATTCACGTTTGCATATTGTCACCATGTTCACTTCGGACCCGTGTTTAACCTTGGCTATACATTGCCAAACCACAGTGCAAATTAACTCGAAGGGTGGAATCTGTTGATGGTTTTTATCTCCACATATCTTTGACTGCAAACGGGTTAACTCGGGCCAAGAAAGATAGAAAGAGTAAGTTTCAATTTTTGTGTCATTTTGAGTGGCCCACGTATCTCCAAGTGAGCCGACCCGTTTTATGGCAAGCAGATCCTGTAATGGGCGTTTCGGGTTATGATCCTCATTGCTTGTATGAGCCATAGAAAGTGGTTTGGCGGGAAACTGATGTCTAGTGGCTTGGCCCCATAGGTTAAGAAAGCCAGCGGCAGAAAAAGCATCTCCGAGTACATGAGCCCAACTTATTCCAACTGATGTCCCTCCACATGCAAACTTGGTTAACTGCATTATAATAACGATGGTTAAATTCATATTTATGTAACCACGTTTGACGTTTTCCTTAACTTATATCAAAATGGGTTACTAAACGAAATATGCAACTGCATTTATTCTACAGACAATATTTACAAACATTGCAACCAACAAATCAGTTACCTTGGCCAAAAGTTTTAAGTAATAATGTTCACCGTTTTCTACAGTTTAAACAGGGTCTGCCCAAGGGGTGTTTAAGATGTGCTTATAAATAGTAGGGCCCATTTTTTTCCAGATTTTATATTAGGGTATTTTCAAATTTTTGGATGTATCATATGTGAAAGGAAAGGACGCAAACAACGGGAATTAAAAATCAGATGAGCTAGAATCATTAACTTTTTGGGAAAATGAAACGATATTTTGGTTCTTGATGATGATGATTACAATTTAAGCATCGGGAAGACAAGAACTAGTTGACGATGGCTAGCAATATTGTACTCTTCTTATTTCTTATTTGCTTAAATCAGGAGGAAATCAGTCAAAAAAATCCGCAATC